TGTCTACCTGTCTGTCTACCTGTCTACCTGTCTGTCTACCTGTCTGCTTACCTGTCTGTCTACCTGTCTACCTGTCTACCTACCTGTCTGCCTACCTGTCTACCTGTCTGTCTACCTGTCTGTCTACCTGTCTCTGTGTATTGTGCTATTGTGCACTCGTTGCTCGTCACCAGTCATCCACAAGCTTTTTATCTGAACAGCTGTGAGTACTAACAATAGCCATGTTTGTTTACGTTCATTATGGTTATTTTAGGGGAATGTCTTAGGAGGGAGGTCTGAAGGGACGGGCTGTCAGTTCTTGCTATATTTAGTGATTTGGAGAGCTAACGCTGCTAGCTACATTCATTTGAAAATAGTTGGCAGCAATGAACTAAGTTTTATCTTTATTTTTTAAATCTTGCGTACTCTAGCTAGTTTCAAGATTACCAACGCTTCCTTTAAGTGGATGTTGCCCAGTATAACAGCTCCACCATCAGAGGTCAAAGATCAACTCAAGGATGATGGTATCAAACTGCCAAAGATGCAAACTTACATGTATACTCATGCTCTGTGTTCTATGCAGGTTTCCATACTTTGATTACTGTAAAAAAACACAAATGAAACGGAGATGAATTGGAGCCGACCAGCTGCTGCTCCCTAACAGCGACTACACACTGTGCTTATTTCAGGGTGGACTATCACATTGGGTCTTGTTCAGAGATACTATGACTTTACTTACTGGAAGAGAATTGTGGATCTCAGCGAGTCCTAAGATTTAAACTGACAGCCAGCTGATATATTTTAACTCTATTCTCAGTTTTAACCGTGTGAAGGGGGCTAATGCCTGGAGCAGTGTTATTTGAATCGCGGCAGCTGGTCGACATTTTCCTCATAATTTAAGTCTTCATTTCACAGTAAAGTGAAAATCCTGCTTTGAGCTGTGACTTTCAGATGTGGCTGAGTGTGTCGTACACTACAGAAATGAAAGCCTCACCTCCACAGACCTGTAGTTACTTCAACTGTCAGAGAAACGGAGTGTTCAGTGGGGTGACATATACAGTATGTGTGTCAGTATCTGAAATAAAGATGTCTTCCATGTTATTAAGAACGAAACCTCTCACCTCCCACTCTTGATCTTTGAATCTGTCTGTTGTCTCCAGCTCCATATTGAATCTACCTCCTGTAATATGAAGTGTCTGAAACCTCGTGATGAAGCTCTCAACCCTGGCTGAATTAGAAGCACGATAAAATAACACAATTTTTAATAACTTTTAATTAAATCCTCTTTCTTGTCGTTGAATGTGACTGACCTGTCTGTTAAGCGTGTAACAGTGGAGATAATGATTTGAATGGCCTGAAGGGAAGATCTTATTTTCCATCTCTGTCTGTCTCAGTCCCACCTTTTCTCTCTCTCTGCTTCTCCCTACCTCGCCTTTATATTCTCATACTAACATTCATTTACTGCCAGTCCATGAATGATGGTTGCCTAGCAACCGTGCCTGGCTCGGCCTAATCGGGGGCTAGAAAGATTCAAGTGAATGTGTGTGTGTGTGTGTGTGTGTGTGTGTGTGTGTGTGTGTGTGTGTGTGTGTGTGTGTGTGTGTGTGTGTGTGTGTGTGTGTGCGTGTGTGTCTGTATTATTCCAGGAAGAGGCAAGACCGCTCAGTTGCAGTTAATATCGAGACTGCTCTTTTTTTATTTCCTGTCTGCCATCTGAATGAAGGTTAATGTCTACAATGATTAGCTTCGAGAGCTTTTTTTGTGATTTTCAGATGGTGTTCTTACCTGGTTCAAAGTAATAATCCATGATGTGTAATGCTTAACTATAGTAGGTCTTTTGTCTTTCATGATATGGATGTAACCCAAAAGGAATCCAACCTACAGTAATTTCACAGGAAGTTTCTCATCTACACAGCCCTGTTGGATTCATTTACCCTCAGCAGTTTGTCTGAAACAAAAAGAACAACTGACAAGTTTGCATGAGCAGTGACATGGATGAACAAAGAAAAGAGCACCACCATGAAAATGTACAATGTATTCATGAGAATCCACCCTTACATTACAGCTTTGGACACAGTGTGATTAGTCAAGCACAAAGACAATAGAGAGCTGCAGCTAATAATTGATTAGTTGAAAATTAGTCAACAACTATTTTGTAAATCAATTAATTGTTAAAATATTTGAGCAAAAATGCGGGATATGTGTTGCTCTTCTTGGTCCTACATTACAATAAATAAATTATGTTGATGTTTGGACTGTTACCCGTAGAAAGTCTGACATGTCAATTGGATTCCATGATGTGCATTTTTTATCTGATGTTTTACAGACCAAATGATTAATCAAGAAAATGATCAGCAGATTAATCGACAAGGAAAGTAACTAAGTTGTAGCCATAGACTTGGTAAAATAAGTAGACGTAGCCACCGTGACGTCACATATTGGTTCATTGACTACCATTTTGAACCCTGAAGTTTGGCATTTTGGTCGTCGCCATCTTGTTTCTTTGGAGCCAGAAGTGACCATGTTTAGACAAGAGGATGCAGCTGTGGAAGAGCAAGGCTATCGTAAGCATAGCACTCGCTAAGTTCCAGCTAACGCTAGCTTGGTACCCTGTAATTCAAGTTAACTGTGCTATTAATTTTGATGCTAATTTTGGCTAGTGAAAATAGTGTTTTAGTCTCGTTAGTCCTTTAGCACAGCCGAATAAGACATTTTCAGAAGTCCAAAATGCTACATTTAACTTTGATGAACTGTGAAAGGGTGAGTCTGAGGGAGAGTAACCACAAGTAACCGCACTGGCACCATAGTCATGATCAGCGTAGTTCTTATGGAAAGACATAAAAACAAGAACGGACAATGTAACATCTACTGTTCAATGACAACTGGGCAAACTCATTCATGAAATACAGAAACAAGTGTGGATTTCTCCTGACTAAAATCAAGAACGGATTCAGAATTTTACTGCTGTAGCTTTCATATTGAAATTCAGTCATCAACCACACCTGTGTGAAGAGTGTGAGAGCCAAAGCTTTTTCCCTTCTCGGGACATGAGTCAGTAATCACTCGTCTTCATCGGGGGTTTCCCCTCTGTTGTTCTTTTCGGCCATTGACAGAAATGTCCCCCCCCCCCCCAAAGGAAAAGCTGATTGTTATTATTTTTCCATTGGTATAAAGTGTTTTTGAATAACGATAATGTTGCATTAGCACAATGTGTTGTTGAGTGACCTTGTCACCTCCGTTCTTTAAATGTCTTACTCCGCATTTTCTTTAAGTGCATTTCAATTTTGCCAAGTAAACACTTTTCATTATCCTGAGCCTTGCAGTTTTATCACATAATACATACTGTTATAATAATAATAATAATAATATAACATATAATGTAATCAGTAGTTTTGTTGTAAAACACGGTAAAGGTTTTGATTGTTACGTATTTTTCTTATTTAACAATGCATCGTCGATAGCTCGGCTGAACTAAGAGTTAAAGCTCTCTGGAGAATTATCACAGTTGGATATTTCGACTGACTAATATGACATTTATCGAAGTCCTAACCCAACCAATGCCGAACCGCAGCTATTATTTTTCAGCATTTCTGCGTCAATCCGAAACCTCTTCCCGTGTTTCAGAAATGTCACTCGGTGTTCCATCTAAATACCACAGAAGGCTGCTGCCGGTAACCGGGTTCAGGTAACGCGGTCCCGAGAGGGGCACAGCCGCAGCACACCAGACCACATCCGCTATTACTCGATGCTTACTGAGAGGAAACTCTAAATACTCATCATCAACCGAGTCCCGTCTTCATATTTGCAACAGTAGGTGTCAAAGTTCCCATGCTGAAGGTGTCGGCAATCACTTTTTGTATAGCTTTTGTTTTCCTGAGAAATAGACAGAATATCACTGATGACTGACTCATCACGAGACACCGGTTCAGACTGAAGTGATTTACTGAAGTGAAAGAAGGATCACACACCAAATTACACCCTGAAATATCCTCCTCCTATTTGTCCAGAACTACTTAAAAGTGGCAGTCATGAAGATTTTCATTTAAAGTCTCTATCTGTAGCCAAAGGAAGAAACACAGCAGTGAGGGGCCAATGGCCCTCTGATTAAAGTATTGCAGTATTTATATATACAGTAGTACAAACTGGGTGTCACTGGACAACGTTCCTGGGGAAAAAATGTACAATGACCACTCAATACATCAAGAATCATAAACATCACATCATGGCACCAAAGGCCTAAATATCAGCATGAAAACATAAACATTTGATAAAGAAAGAATGCTTTGAAAATAGTTTAAAATGCAGATCGACATAATGAAGAAAAGCTGCCACACCAACATAAATGTTTAGAATATGTAGTTCTGAACTGGTTGGAGCTTCACATGTATGTCTTCAAGAAATAGTATCGACTGTCAAGACTCCGTCATAAAAAGATTAATAAAATACTAGTGTAATCCATTTGGGATGAGTACAAAACAAACAGTACATCAGAAAATATCTCCTCACATTACATTGAGAAGTAGCTCACTAATGTACTCCATTGTAGTAAAACCATAATGGAGCTATGCACTCAATGCTGAACACTTGAAGCTTGTGTATCAACAGAAAGACTAACCTCTCAATAGAAATGCTAAATCCTCCAGAGCAGAAGTCTTTCAACAGAAACGGCTGCTTTGTTGCTTCATGGTTTATATTAACATGCATGTTGATGTGTCATTAACATGCATGTTAATATAAAACGGTTGTTTTGAGAGACGGCGATGCACAATGGACCATCATGACACAGGTGTGACCTTCACACCGTCTGGTCACTCTATATCCAGCAGTACATCAGCTCTCTGAAGAATCATTGAGGCCGTGGATGCAGGAGGAAATAAAGCAGTGCTCGTATTTGGTCAAAATGTCTCCTCCAGATAAAAGGATGGAGCAACTTCTGCAGAGTGCAGAAAATGGAGTTTAGTGTCTCTACTGATGTATTTACACGCGAGCAGGAATTTATGTTAAATGACTTCTGATCCCGTCTTCTGCCTGACCTGTATCGCCTGTTGCCACGGTTACTATCAGATTTCATTATTAGTGAATCCCGGGCTGCTGCACACCATGCAAAACCTGTGAAGCAAAGGCAGACTGTTCCAGAGCCCAGCTGGGTCTGTTACATAAACATGTTATGTAGCTCAGATACTGTTTCAGCACACCTTCTGTTCACTCCAATATGGAATCTAAGACACCGACCTGAATGTGGGGCAGAGTGGGAGCAAAGTGTCAATGACACTTAAAGCAGCATCGGAGATGTTATCATCTCGTTAACACACATTTAAAGGTATAATATGTAACTTTTCTGCATTAAAATGTCTAAAAATGACTAGACCTATCTTTTATTAACTGTTAAGTTGCGTACTTACATTATCCCAAATGTTTCCAACAATTCTCATCCATCCATCCAATGCTATCTTCTTCCTCTCCCGGGTTGGGTTGCAACAATTTTGAACCTTTTAAATCTCTCATTTGAATCAAGGCAACGGTCTGTTTCATCTGGTCATCGTTGTGGTTGTCTGCCAGAAGCCGTCATGAATTGACTTTATCCACTTTTTTAAGGTACACTTTTTAAATCTTGGTGGTTTTCAACTATATGTTTTACCCGGATGATTGTAGTCATCAATCAGGCTGAGCCAACGTTAGCGGCAGCTCGACTCACAGCCCACCAAGACGTCCTGATTCCATATTTGACTGTTGAAGTCTCAATACTACTTGGTACTGGGTTATTGTGAGCGATACCTTATTGAGGACCGGTACCCAGCCCTTGACTGCAATGATGGCAAAATTGTTGATGACAACAACTCCCATGAACCCATGCTAGTTCATGACGTCATTAAACTCCGTCTTTGTTAATGTTTTGATTGAGAGGCCCGGCAGAAATTTCTATATTTTATAATTAGTCTGATAGGAACTAAAGGCTGTGTTGCTCTCCACCAACTCCCAAGAGAAATATCTGGCCTTTAGCTGCTAATTACACCACTCTGTTCACCAGCTACTTCCATTTATGAAGTTGTTCTGGTAGTGATGCTTAGACACGGAGCAGCAGACAGTCAGCAGTCATGTTTTCACTCTCCTACCAACTCCTGAGAAACATATATGTGTCTCTTTAACTGCTGCTGCTGTGAAAACGAGGATCCATCCATTGACTTCCACTATTCCTGGGCCGGGTCGCGGGGTTACGATTCCTGAGGGGAACTGTAGACTGGATGGGTTTGTTACTACGAGTGACGCTGTGTATCTGGCTACACGATGCGTATCATGATACAGGGGTTATGATTCAACGTATTGCGATACTTTTATTGTGAGATATATTAATATGCAATTGGTTCAAATACTGCCTAATTGACATTATTGCCTGAATCACATATGATTTGTTTTATTCATGTGTTTGACTGCATAAAGAATTCAAATTGAAACAGGAAAGCATGACCTAATCAAAAAGGGTGTTTATGTGACTTTTGGATGGTCTGTACACTTTGTTAATAATGCTGTTAGTGTAACACTGAACAATACTTGTATTCTGTTCAAGTCACCATCCTTAAAACAACGCTCATCCGGAGCAACATGTAGAAACATTGAGGTAGATGTGGTACGCACAGGGGCTGTGAATGTGATCTCTGTGCAGAATTACACTCAGGCATCCAGCTAGGATCTCTACCAAACAAGCAGAAGTCACGGCAATAACAATAGTAGAAAACAGGGAAGAACAGCAAAGTTAAAAGAAAACAGGGTGAGACAAGGCAGTCAGAATCAGGAGAGAGTACTGGCGCTGCTTTAGTGGTTTCACGGGTGTCGGTTAGTGAACACTCGGCTCAGATGCTGCTTCAAAGAGACACAAGGTGAAGGTCATGTGTTCAACTCAGAACCTGAGAGACGGGGTGGAACTAGCTACACATTTCCTGTCACAAGACAAAAAGGTGCATGTTGTTGCTTTAAAGTGAACCAAGAAGGACCCAGGAGGAAAAACTGTTCACCTTTGGTTTTAAATGTCAGTTTATTTTGATTTTTTAACCCATATTGCTGCAGTTGATGTTTCTTCTGTAACTTTGCATGTCATCCTGTATTGTAACATTTCTGTTCATAATCTACAAGAAATAATGGCACCAAAGGGCCGATGAAAGGCCAAGTGGAACAAAGGGAAGCCGATGAACGACGTGGACTGTAGTAGATAAAGACATGCTCATCAAACTCCAAATGACACCTCGTATTTTCTTTCATTGACTAACTCTCATTATCGTTTTTGCACAGATGCAGCAGATGGTGAACTCTGATACTCGGTTCACCAGCAGCCAGCAGCCAATCGAGGCTGCTCTCGGACCCAGGAGCCAATCGGGCATGAGCCAGCAAAGCCAGTTGTCCACCATCAACCAATCCCAGCTGGGGCTGAGTGGGAACTCTGTTACCCACAACTCCCCCTCACCCCCTGGAAGTAAATCCGCCACACCATCTCCCTCCAGTTCAGCACACGAGGACGACAATGATGACGGACTCAGGGTAAAAAAAAAAAAGAATATACACACACACACACACACACACAACCACTCACAGACAGACACTCTCCTATGAGTCACTGAGTCATATCTGGCTGGGCTGTAGCAAGCATTTGGTCCTGCTGTGTGTGTGTGTGTGTGTGTGTGTGTGTGTGTGTGTGTGTGTGTGTGTGTGTGTGTGGGTGTGTAGACAGTGGATAGTTCTTATGATAATGTTGTGTCATAATAGAGCCGTTCTCCCTGCATATCAACTAGATGGAAATCAGCTCCCTCACCATTCGGTCTCTCACACTGAAACCAAAGTGACTGTTCATATTCTGGGGAAATGAAAGCATTACTGTACTGCTGAATGATATCTACCCACTGTATCATTCTCACTGGTGACGTATAGAGGGATGGCTTGTATATGGGCACCATCACAAGTAGGTATCCAGGTAGTGTTTGCTTCAGCAGGAACACAACATGGACATTGCTGCTTATACCTTTACAAAATACTCCCACACATCTAAACTATGGCTGCTTCTGTGAACTTACACGACATGTAGTATTACTCACGGTGATATACTAGCCTCTGGATTTTAGTAATCATTACAAAATTCTATATTTGTGTATGGCACCTTTCAAACATTGCTCATTTAAAGGCCTATTTATTCAGCTTATCTCTATAAGTGATGGGATCCGACATGAACACACATGAGCCAAAGTTATCTCACACGAGACGTTTCTGTATTTGTCTTCTCGTTGCTCTGAAGTGGGGGAAAAGGTTACGTCACATATTTTCACCATTATTTTCACCAGAATTTACCATTACTTTTTCAATCAAAGTCTGGCCCCAGGCTACCAGCCGGGCTACTGTCAATCCAGTCTGATCACACCACACCCACACAGTCCTGATGAAGAGGAGAAGCTAACGTTTAGAGTGTTATCTAAGTGAATGTTGAATGCTGTGGAGAAAAAGTCCAGATTTGAAACAAAGTTTTCAGAAGCTTTAAGCTTTAGCTCACCATTTCAAATAAGAAACCTGTTTCAAGTCAACTTGTGTGTTGCTCCTCCACTGAGTGTAACACCTTTGTTTGAAAGGTGCTGTTGTCACGGACATCAGAAAGAACAATGCAATGAGGTCTAGTTGTCAACAATGGCAACAGTGTTCCCATTCACGTGTCAGTCTTCATCTTCACTTTGTTGAGTTTCTTCATCAGTGAACTCCGGCTCCTAAAACTGTGTTCTTCTTGATATCGAGTTGTTAAAGGTCAACAAATACACAATGTCTTTTATACTCGGATGTCCAAGCTGCGCTGTAGTTCATAGCTCTGAAGCACGAGTGGGTGGAAACCAAGCTGCTGTCGCTGGGCACAGTGAAACAGTGCACTGGTAAGAATATTCGACACATTATCCCCATGACTAGTACATAGAAAGGTGAAAATCAGGAGACTGTGCATGTCACAGTCATCCAGGACATGGATATCTAGCTGTAGTGAGTCAAAGGAGGCTGAGTCAACTCTTTTATTTTCCAGGTCTCTTATTTCTGAGAACACAGTTTCCTGTTAAGAATGGTGTCAATTTGTACTCATTTCAGGGGAAATAGGGACAAAGAAAACATCATTCTTCATATTTACTGAATGGTATGCTTGTGTGGAGACATATATGCATTACTGCTTGGTCAGCTGAACAGCTGTGCACTTAAAGATTATCTTTAATAATTGGGATTCATTAATTGATAATTAAGTGCACCGGTTGAACATTGACCTCTATTTTATCTATTAGCGCCTAATCACACGTTTCCTCAGAGAAAACATCCTATGAAACTATCATCAAATGACTTTCCCTTCACCCTCTCTTTTGGTGCGTGTCACGAATAAACTACATACATGTTGACTGCATTGACTTTGCATTTGATTGTGCCTATAGTATTATTAATATGGCAGTCCTCTGGCTGAAAGAATGTCAGGGTGGGGACCGACAGATGTAGACGCTGTTTGTGTTTCGTCTTGATGGTTCTGCTGACTGCTGAGGAGTTTCCCATCTCTGAACTCTGTGGTTGAGTCAGAGCTCGACATCAAACAAGAATGCTTGAGTTCACATGTCAGTCATGTGAGAGTCTCTGTCTATGTTTGTTTGTCCTTTGATTTTCTTCACAACCGCTCATCCGATCGACTTCACACTTGGTTTGTGTATCACTGAGGACCCAAGGAAGTGTGAGCTCTTGAGATCTCTGGGACATATTTATGAGTAGTGCCCCAGTACACACTGAGTATTGTATTGAGAGGGAACCCCTATTTACTGTTACACCAGCGAACGGCATGCTGGGTACAGCGAGCTCGCCCGCGCTCGCTACAATATGCTCTCCTTTGCTTGCTACGATATTTTTTGTTACACCGCCAAACGGCATGCTGGGTACAGCTCGCTGTCTGCCATTGTTAACATGTCAGGTTAATAATGACTCTTAAAAGAAATATGATGTTTTATAGATGTCATTTACTTCACATACCACCGTCTTAGTTTGATTATACATTTGTGCTCCAGAACTAAAGCCCTCTGTCCATCCATGTCTTCATCCTGACCGTCCCTGTCTGTGTCCTACTCAACGGCCTTCTTCTCCTCTCAGCTTGTCAGTGGAGCAGAGAAGAGGCCAGCAACAGTGGACATCTCCAAGAAACCCAAAACACCAAAGAAGAAGAAGCGAAAGGACCCCAATGAGCCAGTGAAGCCAGTGTCCGCCTACGCCTTGTTCTTCAGGGACACCCAAGCCAACATCAAGGCCCAGAACCCCAACGCCACCTTCGGGGAGGTGTCAAAGATCGTGGCCTCCATGTGGGACGGGCTGGGAGAGGAAGAGAAACAGGTAGGTCCTCCATCTTTAAGTTAGCGTGTCCGTTTGCCTCTCTCCTAGCCCATCACTCTTATAGTAGTAGCTACACTGTCTTTTTGACAGGAACCTACAGTTCTGCAGGGAAACCTGAGCTCTAGCAAGACAACTGAGACTACCAATCACTGCATCTCGCAAAAAAGCCAATAGTGGCGTGGGAACTGAATTTTTAAAAGATTCAGAGAATAGTTGTCGGTGCCCTGGGAAGTCCTCATTGTGGTTATGTGTTGTTAGATAACTGTGTAAGCTGAGGGAGATACTGTGAGCCCCATGATGGCTACACCTGAGATGATTTAATCCATTAAATCATTTGATGCAGAAAAATTTGTTTTCAAATGCTGTATAACTGAGATAGAGATGTAAAGTCCAGTAGCTGGTTGAAAATTCAAATGTTTGTGTTTCAGTCGTACAAGAAGAGGACAGAGACGGCCAAGAAGGAGTATCTGAAGCAACTGGCAGCCTACAGAGCCAGTCTGGTCTCACAGGTACTCCACACACACTGAGATAATCAGAGTTCTTGGCATTTAACTCGTGCCTTAAAGGGATAGCTTAGCTTTTTTTAGGTGTGTTTGTATGAGGTTCTTCTCCATAGTCAGTGTTTTACTACAGTAGATGGAGTTTATAGAAACAGACCGGAACACCAGCACAGGAGCAAAGCAATGTACTGCTGTGGACGTATTTTAGACACCTGAAAACATCATTATCAGTTATAGTTTTCTCTGCATTGAGAATATTTTCACCTCTTACCTCTTTACTGCCACACAGCCTTTTCTGATGGGGGTCTGAAGTGATATACGTATCTCTTCAAATTCACCAGACTCCTTTGACAAAAACAGTAGTTTTATCTCGCAGAACACAGGAGTTGCTGGTTGTTTGTGTTAATGTGTGACTTTGGTGAATCCAAACTAACCATTTAAAACACCAAAGTCACACAATAACACAAACTAACTGACTGATGGAGGCAGCAGTAGATAAGAGCTTCAGTTCTCCATCAGAAAGGCTGTGTGACAGCAACGTAGATGGGTGAAGATATTCTAGATATAGCATGAACTATAACTGATGGTTTTAGGTGTCTAAAATACGTTCACAGCAGAACAATACTCTGCTCCTGTCTGTTTCTACAAACCTCATCTACTGTCGTAAAACACAGACTATGGAGAAGAACCTCACTTAAAAACACAAAGTATCCCTTTAAGGCACTAAATGGGTCAGTGTGAACCCTGCTAACTCTTTCCTTTTTCTTGTTCTCCAGAGTTACAATGATCCATCTGAAATGAAGCCGCCCCACTCTTCCTCCACACCTCCCTCTTCCTCTACCTCAATGTTTACAACCAAACCCTCGGTCTACCCTGGTCACCCGGGCCAGCACCATTCCTCCGGCTCACTGGGCCACCCTCACCCCCACCCTCACCCTCCCCATCCCCATCAGCACCCGAGCATGTACATGGCGTACCCTCACCCGTCGCACCCTTCCCACGCCTCGAGCCCTGGCCTCAGCCCGCACCTGCCCCCTCCCCACACTCAGCTCCACCCCCAGCTCCAGGCTCTGTCCTCAAGAGGGACCGTCCCGCGGCCCAGCGTCCCCCACCAGGGAGTTCTGTCCCTCGGCGGCATGGCGGCGGCGTCCCCCCCTCCTCTCCAGGTCAGCCCTCCCCTCCACAGCCAGGCACACCTGGGGGGGCTGCACAGTCCACACCACCACCAGCACCACCACCAGCACCACCACCAGCACCACCAGCACCAGCAGCTCAGTGGACACGCTCTGGGAATGACGCACTCGCCCGGCATCACACAGGTCAGTCTCACACTGAATGTACATCTTTATTGTTTGTTGATTGATGGTAGTCAGTAGGTTGGACATGATAATAATATGATAAATACCATGAAAAGACCAAACCAATAATGTGTTAGTCCGTCTCTAAATACTTTCAGACTTCGCATCTTTACTTTAACAACTGGACACTGTGTTATTCAGGAAAGGTTACGCAAACAGAAGGAAACAGTGCATTTATTGGGGACTATTTTCTGCTGCGGATTAATCCACATTTGGTGCTCTAGTGAGTATCTGTGGCAACATGACTGTGTGTGTGTGTGTGTGTGTGTGTGTGTGTGTGTGTGTGTGTGTGTGACATTTGGTCAAAATAAACAATAAACAACAGTGTGTGTGTTCATGGTAATGAAGGAACATGACACCCAGGGCAACAGATGATGAGTTGTTAATGGACAACAATGGAGCTCAATGACACAGAGGAAGAAGATGCATCAGGCTTTGATTCACACACAATCCGTTTTGGGTTTTAGTGTTTCCTGGGATTTGTTTGATCAATCTTGCCACCAGTCGTATCTCCCACAGTGGTTGTTGAAGTGACATGAAATGTAATGCAGACCATCAAATTATTCTGTATTGGATTTTTCACATTTTCTAGTTTTTCTTCTGACATTTTTAATTAAAAATCAAGGAGCAAGCAGTTAAAATATATATATATATATATATATGTATATATATATACATTAGGGCTGGGCAAGTTATCGCGTTATTATCGTGTTAACGCATCATTAATTAACACCGACAATTATTTTATCGCGCATTAACACAGTTTTCTTTTAATTATTATTATTTAGAAAGTCCGTTGCTCACTGGCTCAGACTAAAAATTCCCCTGCACAGTGAATCCCAGCGGTGTACTTCACCTCACTCTAACAGGGACACTACTGAACATAGACTGAACATAGGGCTGCTCCCTGATGGTACCTGTTCAGAAATAAACAGAAAACAGATTTATAAATGTTAACTTGCTGTTGCTCGGAAGGTTCCTGTTCTAATGTTCTGATCGTGGCTCTGGACTCTGAGGGTAACTTGTTTTTCTATAACAAACTAATCCCGATTAATCGCAGAAACTCATGCGATTAATCGCGATTAAAATATATATATATATATATATATATTAGTGTCATCTGCTCTATACCAATCCATTCTATATATGTATTGTATGCAGTATGTACTGATTGTAACAGTGTACTGTTTTTGCAGCTTAATGAGGAATCCACATACTTTACTGTTTTTTCACTAATGAAATGACTCGCTGTGCCGTAGTTTGTCAGTGAACGAGACAACTAGATGTTCTAGGATTTCTAGTGATGTTTATATCATTAATTACCTTTTCCTCTCTGCATTGCATGATGTCCATCAACAGCTCACTCAAAAATCAGCCATATGTTCTTTTGAGTATAGCTCATTTTAAATGTGACTTTAGTTTGTAATCGGGACACATCTATTGTTTCCTCTATGGACCATCAAACCTGTTCTTACACTAGTCAGCTTTCCTATTTCCTCGAGGTAACAGCATCTGGCTGATTTAAAAGCTGCAGAGAGGTGAATGAAGATAGATGAATATATCAGCAGAGGAGACACACACACACACACACACACTCACAGTGGAGATGGGATGGGTGCTAGAGAGGGAGAGGGTGCATCAGCATTTCCTTGAGGACTGCAGCACCGAACAGACTTGGAACATAACTCCATTAATCCTGATTATCATCCAGTCAGCTCCAACTATGCTGTTGGATTAGTTGACCTCTGTTTCTCTCTGTGTGATAACATCAGACCGGTAGGAATAGTTTGGACGTTACACGGAGACATTTAAGATTCATAGAAATCCGTTTTTGGGTGAATTTCTGGTGGGACCTGTTTCTACTACCTATCTGTTTCTCTGCGTGTATCTGTCGCTGTCTCCCTGTCTCTCATGTAATGAGTCAGTAGGGCTGTTGATATTCACTCTATCAAAACAGGAGGAAGAGGCTGTGATCTGAATGTGAGTTCAGTCCGATGTGTCTCCTCCAGATAGATAAAAATGGGCTGATGGATTGCAGCTCAGTCTCATTTTATCCCTGGTTTTAAAGTGCACTTTTAAATCCCAATTTCCCATAATCCTCCTCTCTCTCTCTCTCTCTCTCTCCTCCGTTTTTTTGCATATTTTTGGCAATAAAAAGAGAGAGCCGATAATAGTGAAAAAAGTGAAGAGAAAAAAAGGAGAGGACACAGTGACAGAGCCCTAAACTTTTTTTTTTCCATGAGGGAATAGTGAGAAATGATGGGGGAAGGGAGAGAGAGGGGGGAGAGAGAGAGACAAAAGAGGCAGATGGGGTCTTTGTGAAGGAGTGAAGGAGAAGAATTTGCTCGACAATGGATGAATAGGTGAGGTAGAGGGGGAGAGGGGGGAGAACCCAACCACCTGCTGTCCTCCTCTTTCTCCTCTTTCACTCACAACACTCAGATTAACTTCCCTTTCAGTCTCTCTCTCTCTCTGTCTCTCTCTTTCTCTCTCACACACACACACACACTCTGTCACTGCACTCCCTCGTTTTTCTCCCTTTCCATCTCTCTCTCCTCCCTCAAGTATCTTATGGTTAGATACCTTTTCCTCCTCTTCTTCCTCTGCCTTCCTCCTCTCCTCTTACCTTTTCATCTCCTCTTC